ATTTGATCGTGTAGATCACCAAAGACTTTTGGACAAATTAATTAAGGTAGGCTTTCATGTCAGGTTTGTGGAATGGATTAAAAACTCCACAGCTGGTAGAAGTCAAAGAGTCAAAATACGTTGCAATATGTCTGATAGTATCTCAGTAACATCTGGAGTTCCTTAACCCTGCACTACATATGTGGGGTTTCACAAACCCCAGCTCCCAAATATTGCTCTTAAAATAAATCAAACGCAGACTTATGCGCACGTCCACCCCAATAGCTTCCCAAAAAGGTCCCCACCATCGAATTCAGGCGTTAGCTCAGTACATTGTAGGCACTGAGTGAAATTACACGCGCCTGAAACGCTCTGGGGTGTGTCAAACCCCACCTATGTACTCGCGTTTGTAATTTTGACATTATAAGTAAGTTTTTATTTTTGACTTATTTGAATCTGCAGATTCAATTGTTTAATTTTTTAGCTAAAATATGTCATACGAAGCGGAACAGAAAAAGCTTGAAGCTCTATTGGCTGAAATTGATGACGATGCCATCCAATCGGGAAGCGATGACGATATTGACCATATCTCTGAAAGCGACCACAACACCGAGTCGGAGCAGGATATCGCAATAGAAGACGTAGTTTCTGACGGAGATTCAGACATTGAGACATCAAAAACAGAACTTTAGAATGAGACCGAAAATAAACGCACTGACGGACCTCCAAGAAACAAAGAAATGTATCTCGGAAAAGACGGAACACAATGGAACAAACTTGCTTCAAATAATAAACGGGTTCGAACAAGATCAGAGTACGTTATTACTCATTTGCCGGGTATGAAGCATTATGCAAAAAATGCTAAACGTGCTTTAGATTGTTGGCAATTGTTTTTTGACCGACAAATGATCGAAGACATAGTGCGCTGGATCAATCTCAAAATTTAACAAAAATCAATTGCATATCAAAATAAATGCATGGTGAAACCAACCAATGAATGTGAAATTAAAGCATTTATCGGACTTCGGAAACAGATGGGACTAGTGTCGATATGTTCCGCAATACGATGTCTATAAATCGTTTTCAATTCCTGATGGTCTGTCTTCGGTTCGATAGCATCGAGAATCGAAAAGACACATTGGCGATTGACAAATTAGCTCCAGTTCGTGGAATTCTGGACAAATTTATTGAAAATTGTAAGCAGGCCTACACTCCTTCTCAATATGTGACGATAGATGAGAAGTTGGAGTTTTTTCGTGAAGATGTGCTTTCAAACAGTACATGCCCAACAAGCCTGCAAAGTATGGGATCAAAGTGCAGGCCCTATTTCTGGTTCCAACCGAAATGTGACCTTTGACAACTGGTACACTAGTTATGAATTAATGATAAAATTGCTGAACGAGCATAAACTTACGTCAGTAGGCACGCTGAGAAAGAACAAACGATGCATCCCAGCACAATTTTTGACAGTCCAGAACAGAGAACAAATGACATCTTTATTTGGCTTTCAGAAAGATATTACACTTTTATCGTATGTGCCGAAAAAAAAAACAAAAACGTCCTACTGTTGTCCACCATGCACCATGATGGAGCTATTGATGAAGCAACTGGCGATAAAAATTTACCAGAAATAATAAGCTTCTATAACTTTACTAAAAGTGGAGTAGATGTAGTGGATGAACTGTCTGCATCATATAACATATCTAGAAACTCACGGAGATGGCCTCTTACGATCGTGTTTTCTCTCTTGAATACAGCCGCCATAAATGTTATGGTGATATACAGAGAAAACAATCAAGATTTCAAACTTGCCAGAAGATTGTTTATCAAAATGTTGGGCTTTGAATTGATCCAGGACCACATATCTGAAAAAAAAAAATAATCCAAGAATACCAAGGAGTATTCGTCAAAACATTGCACATTTTGGCCAAGATGCCCCTGCAGTGCCACCTGCCAAGATTCCAAAACTCATGGGAAGATGTTCAGTATGTCCAAGAAGCCGAGATCGGAAAACTAAATATTTCTGTTCAAACTGTGAATCATTACTGTGCCTGGAGCATGCTGTCATAAGTTGTCAAAATTGCATGAATTCAAATAGCGATTAATTTTTTTTCTTTCACTGTACAACCGGGCAGAGTTTTTCCTTGTATTATCTTACTATTAGATTTTCATTTACTATTGTATTTTTGATCATATGGTGTTTATATTTTTTGGTAAGATTGTTCAGTTAAGTTGTGGTTTTTGCTTATGAAGAATTGCCTATTATTAGATTATTTTTAATTTCTTTTAAATAAAGGTGTTCTGATTATTTCTTTTTTGCTTAAATAGTACTTAGATGATCACTTCAGACCATGACATTAGAAAACATATAAAGAAACTGCCAGAAAAAATTCTGATTTACTTAGAAATTGGGGTTTGTCACACCCCACATATGTACTAATGACAGAAAAATTCACGTATGTAACGCCGGGTTAAGGAGGCCACACTTCTCCACTTCTTTTTAATATCTTCGTTAACGACATCACTTCCTGTTTTCTAAATAGCAAATGTTTAATGTTAGCAGATTGACTTGAAAATTTGGAAAGTTATAGATAGCTTAAAAGATCAAGCCTTGGTGCAATCAGAACAAACTCCACTTAAATGTAAAAAAAATGTTGGAAAAGAGAAAAATCAAAGAAGCAGCCCTCATCCTACTCAATGAAGAAAAACGTGTAGCAAACTCAGTAGAATGTAGCAGGATTTGATTATTAATACTGAAAGAAAAAGACAATAAAAAGAATATACCAACAATAGAATTAAGAAACTCTGAGACCCTCGTCTTGAAAAACAATACATATGCAACACACAACACACATACATAAATACACGAACACTCCGTCTGTACAATTTTTCAATTTTGAGTAATGACGTAACCCCGTAAACAACTTTGACAACAAAATTTTAAATAAATAATCTTTTTTGAGAACGATTTCCGGAGTGGAAATCGAAACGTCAAATTTCTGTAGTAAAAAATGTAATTATCAGTAGTAATATCCCTAGGACATTGATAACAGACGAGATAATTTCATGACAATCAAAAGCTCGTTCCTTGGTAACAGCACGAAGCCAAAGGTTGAATGCTGTTACCAAGCAACGAGCTTGAGAAATTTGTCATGAAATTATGAGGCATTCATCAATGTCCGAGGGATATTCGGCGGATAATTCTTCGAAAAAAAAAAATCATAACTCAACATAACGAAACATTTATTTATTAAAAGTACAGTTAGTGAAAGTACAATTATTAAAATTTAAGTTAACATTAGATTCGTTGCTGTTCTCTACTATAGAAGATCTATTACCACGCATAATATTTATAATCTTGTTATGGTGTTCTGGTGGTATAATCTAAGGTTAAGAACACTAAAGTGTTATGTGTGGTCTCTACTACTATATGGCTGTCAGACCTGGACATTAAAATAGTATGACGTCAACAAACTGAATTCATTCGAAATGTGGATGTACCGCCGAATGCTAAGAATAAGCTGGACCAGCAAAACTACAAATGAAGAGGTACTGGAAGTAATGAACACACGACCTCATCTGGTTAATACAATCAAAATTAGAAAGACGTCATATCTAGGACACATAATGCGCCATAAGGAATTTGAGCAGCTCCAGGTAATATTAGAAGGCAAAATCGAGGGTAAAAGGGGTATAGGAAGAAAGAAGAAATCCTGGCTCCGAAACATCAGAAATTGGACTCACACAACAGGAAATGACTTAATCCATCAAGCCCAGAACAGAGAGAAATTTGCCATATTGATCGCCAACCTCAATAGAGAAGGCACTTAGGAGGAGGAGGTTGTGGTGTTCTTGATCGAGATTCAAGTACGGTTTTATAGAAACGTGACATTTTGAAATTTATTAGGATGAAGTTGTCAAACTCGATCGTGTTGTCATAGGGATTGAAAATTGCACTGAAGGCAATTATCAGTCTAATGTTGACATGATTGGGTGAAATTGTTCCACATGATACAAAATGACGAAATTTGAATGGTTGTTAGAACAGTCAAAAAATTATCATTAAAATCAATTGTGGCTTAATCCCATATGTACACAATATTCATCTCATAAAAGTAATATCAATAAAACTAATCCAGTAGATATCTCTGTTGTCGAAATTAATTAAAGGGACAAAAATGATTTTTCTTTCCTGTTTCCTACTTGGAATTAAAATAAAATAAATTAAAAGAGACATAATTTTAGTAGTTTATTATCATAAAAATATTCCTATACTTTTAAGATCGTTATTTCGAGGTAAACTAGAGAGCTTTGACAACTGTTGCATGTCTTCCCAAGACAAACAACAATAAAAAAAAATAATATCCTGCAAATATATGAAGAGTGTTATCTAAAACTGTCAACATTTTCTTATCAGAGAAAACATTAATAACGTTTTTATAGGGATTTAAATAACAAACATTGTACATAAACTTGCTTCACAGCCCTTGAAAGACCGGCTTTATTAAAATTCCTGGTAAAGGTGAAGGTTTTGTTTAATAGACAGTCTTAACCATAAACAAACAGTTACAAAATTATAATATGGAGAAAATTTGGAAACCAACTTCGTCAAAAAAGGATTTTTTAATTAAAAAGGTTGCGTTTGTAAACAAGAATAAGTTTTTAGCAGTTCGTTCGCAGGTTCTAAAAATGTATAATTATTAAGACATATGAGTATATTCTCATAATTCTCAACTGCTACTCAAACTTTACTGTATTTGTTGATAAAATTTATCTTCTTGTATTGAATATAATAAACCACTAACTATAATATTTGTGGATGATGAAAAGGCCTTTAAAACTAAATCAACAAAAAATGTTTAAATCCTGGAACGAAGGGGCTCAGCTAGGAATTGATATTTTACACACCGTTAAAGTATTTTTCTTTCCAATTCATTTGCTAATCATTAATAATTCATTATCATAATATAATAATACCTCAAATCTTAAGATTTTTAAACTAAGAACATCTTTATTTTCAGAACACCTTTACAATTCTCAGTTCGATAGAAGAAAGGCTACGCAGCCTGGATAATGTCTATTCCATGCAGCTGTCACAAAACCTGGAAATTAAACTGGACCAATACAACCGAAAACTGGAAAACCTCGATAATAAAATTATGCGGCTGGAAGCATTGGTGATGTTGAATTTGGGAAAAGTATCGGAAAATATTAGTACCAAAAATTTCAAGGACGATTTAACTAAGACGGATATTTTGAGAAAATTAGATTCGACATACGAAGGCGTAACCCATCGTTTGAATTATATCGAGAGAAAGCTCGAAGTGAATTCTGTATTATTTCAGGTAGGTAACTTTTATGCTTTTTTTTGTAACCTCACCTGCGACTTTAAAAAATTTCATGCGTTTTAACTACTCGTAAATATCCAATTTTCTAAATTTGCATCTTCCTGCACAAATTGCATCGTTTTTAAAAACAAAGAGTTTGCATCATATATAATAAGAAAAAAAAGGTAATGATATTTAAAAATGCTATTAAAGCCTTAAGAAACAAAACACGGTTTAAAAATTTTGATATAGATAAATCCATAAATTATACGACCTGGACAATGAGACGCTAATAATGTTATAAAATTTGATACTGCCAATCCGTGATGTTCTTATTTATAAAAACTTACCTCAGTTTTTTCTATTCCGTGTACCGGGAATCCACTCATATAAACCGTTATCTCAATGACCAGTCACATCATCACCCCGCACAACTCAAATCAGTTATCAACACTCTTGTTTCCGGTTCAATATGACTTAGCGGCAACAATCACAGATCATCCGAAATCAATTCAATAACACAAACAGTCTTACAAAACCCAAATCAATAGGAGCATTCAAAAACATCAAAACCCCATTCCATCCAAAAAAGAAACCTTGCCGCCTGATCAACCCAAAATTCTATGTTTCATTAAAGGTGCCACTGAAAAGATCACTAGAACTCTTAACCCTCTTAATATCAAAACCATCTTTACTACTCACTCCAAGTTGTCCAATCTCGTCAGATCCATAAAAGACCAAATCCCCAATGAAGACCATTGTGTCTACAAGATACCTTGTTCCAGTTGCCCACGTTCATACATAGGATAGACAAACTGACGAATTTATAACCGAACATTCTATATCTGTCAAACATTCAGATACTACTTCAGCCCTAGCCCAACATCATATTCAGACAGACCACAAAATAGATTTCTAAAAAGCAAAAACCATCGCTCCCGTCCGCTCCTTAAAATCGAGAGTCATTCATGAATGCCATGACGCCAAATAACTGCCGGCAACATGGCGACCACTGCTTCAGCGGCCCCCCGCCCCAACCCATTAGTTGGGTCATCAATCGAAACTAAGGAATAGGCAGATTGAGACCTCAGTGTCCTTTGACGGTTCTTGTATTTCTTCAGAACACGATACTGGTACGTCACGAGTGAGTGGAGTAGGCAGATTAAGACCCCGAATTCGAATGGAACCGTATCTCTCTTGAAAATGGCTCCAAAATGGGTGCCAAAAAGTCGAATATTAAATTCTCAACGTGGTTCTTCCCAAGAACTTAACTTGAACCTGCAGCCGCCCCCAAAAAAAAGTATACACCTATTTAGAAAAAAAAAAAAATGGATTTTTAGGTTATGTAGACTTAACCTACGGGTCTATAAAAAATAGAAAAATTGGACTGTCTTATTTTATTCAGGCTCTTTCAATGTAAAAAAATATATTTAACCCCACCAAAACCCCTAGAAACCGTGAAAAACATGGTTTTTTGGAGAGTTACAATATGTTTCGAGCAATGTTTGAATGTTCTAAAGGCTTCATTTAATTTAGAATATATATAACCCATAAAAAATCTTAATTTGATTAATTTTGAAGTCTACAAAAGGGAGAAAATTCCTCAAAACCACCGAAAAACAGTTTTTCGGATTATTAAAGATGGCGCACACGAAAGAATCTAAAAAAAATCAGAGATATAGATTTTGATAAAATACATAAAATGAAAAAAAATTGGACCTGCAGTCACCTCCAAAAAGAAGTTCCTCGCTTTTTTTAAATGCATTTTTAGGTTATGTACACGCAACCTACGGATCTATTAAAAATAGACAAGTTTTGTACAAGCCTCAACCACAGAATAATAAACAATCAAAATGCCCACTCTGCTTAAAAAATAAGTACGCGCATCTCGTTCGCGCAGACAGAATCAGCCATGTTTTAAACGGAACCAGTGCTGTTCAGTGACATGTTATCTGGTGTGCATAGACAAATTAACCCGGTTTAATTTATTTACGCCAACTACAGACATAATATGCACAATTTTATTTGTACTTTTAGTTGTAATTATTTCAAATCTGAATTATTAATCTCTAAAAATTTTAATTACATTTCTGTCATAGCTTGTCACAAATTTCTCAATTCAAGTCTATGTTTCCGTCTAAAACATGGCGTTAGCGTGCTGACAAACTTCAAAGGCGGCATCTGAGAGTGGGCATTCTGATTGTTTATTATTATGTGCCTCAACTATGTGTGAATTTTTTGAAATTTTTAAATTGATTACATCCTACCTAAAAAAAATAAATAAAAACAAAAAATTGACATTTTTGAGTGTAGCGAGTGGAGGCAGGGGGGCTAAAATTGCGCTGAACCTTATTCGTTTAATCATATAGAACGTAAAAAAAATGAAAAAAAATGAATTCTGGGAGTGCCTATCTTAACGGGGGTACACTATTTGTATTGTCTACTTATAATTTTCACATATTCTTCATGACGTTCATTACATTCCCAAAATCTACTGAGAAAAGATTATTGTAAGCAAGACTATGGTGATTCCTACCTTAACATTTTAACGCATATCAGAAAAGTCCCAAACCTCTATTTAGTTTATTTGTTTTTTATATTGTGTGATTTAATTGTCACAATATTATGGACTAAAGACTGAAGTTGAAGTGTTTGTTCAAAATGAAATAAAAGCAGTAAAGTGAGAAAACCCTTTTTAAGGTGATCAAAACTAACCATTTAAACCATCGCGCATTCTATTCGACATATTTAGGTGTTTCGAATTAGTTTCAATTCCGAAATTTAAAAATTTAGCAAAAATATGTTCAATGGACAATTGATTTTCTGAATGTGTGGAGTCTGTGGCAGATGGTTTTTGGGTGCATCAAGATTTCTAAAAAAATAAAAAAATCCTGCTAATTGACCACAAGCTTTCAATTTATATTACACAGGTTGACGTCTCACCAATATGTGCGAATAAAAATATATTATTTTCTTATCACATCTATTAGCCTATGCCCTATAAAAAATTATTCTCGTTGTACTGTTAACAACAAATATTGCTTATATGTTTATTGTTGTAGGAAAAATTAGAAGCTATGTTTAATCATTTAGATAAAATGGATAAAGACGCTATAAAGCGTGATTCAGATTTGGAGACCGAAGTGTCAGCAGCAATATCTGGTATCAAGAATCTCACAACTACCTATAAAATTTTGGAAAGGAAGGTTATGAATGTTACCGAGGATGAACTAGTAGTAAGTATTACCATCAAAGGGTCTACTACTCATGTCTCAGAGACAATATCAGTCTTAATTAAAAATCTGTTAGGTACGCAAGGATGACTTTAGTCGCAATTTTTGGCGGACACACTTATACATCGACGTTTTTAAGTTTTTCTATTTCGCACAGATTACTTCAACTGTTAGGTGAATTTTACTCTATTGTCCAACCGCTTTTTACGAAAACTTCTTCAATTCTTCCCCATCCGTTAAGGACGACTTGATGGGAAACCTCCACTCCATTATCTACGGGTAGCAGTTAGATACTTTTCTACAATCCCGGTAAAGAATGGGACTACTTCAGAGAAGCGACCGTGCCCACGCGAGTCATGCCTTGCTCTTAATTCTCTATTGACGGAAATCATGTCCCAGCCCTTTATCCTTCCAAAATCTAGTTACCTAATTCTTATCTCTCTCTGGTGAAGGGCAGCAGCAATCATTAGTACAGGCTCAAGGCGCAGAGGAAATGATCTTGGATCGGTTTAAAATTGGACTACAAAAGCATGACTGAAGCAGTTTGAAAGGTTGTGGTACTGCGATGGGAAGGCCACGGGAAAATAATCCCATTATATTTCCACAAATCTAAACGGCAAACGAAAACTAAAAAATAGCCCTAAGTCCTCCCGTCAACTACCATTGAGATACAAGGAACTGTACCAGGTGTACCATATTAGGAGAATCCAAATATATGACGGGTTCGTAGGCATTGCCACTTGAAGGTAACCAGCTTATTTATGGCTGGGAAACTAGCAAATACTGAAGCCAAGATGATAAGAATGAAAATAGACATCTTGGGAATGTGTTAAGTAAGATGACACAAAAAATACAAAATAAAACAAAAAATAAAAGATGAATATATCTATAATTCAGGAGGAACCGACCAAGAACATAAACCTGGAACGGCTATATTAGCATCGGACTAATTACACAGTCAGTTACAGACTTCTTCTCTCTAAACGATAAGTAGTAGTCTTAAAATTAAGAACAATCTCTAGAAACCTAAATATTATAAACTACTACCGAAAATGGGGAAAAAGTTTTCCGAAAATAAAATTTTTTTCCTGCTCCTGGTACCAATATTTTTGTACGGCATTAGGTAACAAGTCATTATTTTCGTATTACCTGTCCAAGTTATAAATGCCGTACAAATATGTTTGGCCAAAAAACTCACCTCCTTGAGTTGTAAGTTTATCTTATCTGTAACTCACATGTACCGATGCGAATTGACGAAATAGTTTCTAAAGTTGTTACTACATAGTGCAGTATTGTTTTATATGCGATTCATGCTGGGTCAAATGACCCATTAAAAATCTCCCAAGGACTTGTAGACTATTATTTCTGTCTATGCTGCAACAAGTAACAAGTCAGAGGAAGAAATGGAAAAATTTTATAACGACATAGATGAAATAATGCGATTGGCAAAAAGAGACTAGATAACGATGATCATGAAAAAGATTTGTACAGTTCTGCGTGAAGAACAACCTGTTAATAGCCAACACCTTCAGTTCTTCCCTTATAAGTCTTTGTCATCTTTCACTAGTACACCTTTCCCCGACATATTTTTGTATTCACTTTTCACTTCACTTTTGTACCCCGACCCATAAAAAGACAACTCAGTGTACTACTCCGACTGAAATCTTTTATTAGAAAGATGGTTTTTTTTTCGGAAACTCTCAACTATCAGAATTATCATTATTTTCTAGTTCTTCCTCATTATGTTATTGAAGTTTGACATTAACGAAGTTACTGTTATCCATCCATTGTAATCCATCTATCAAGCTACCGATCTCTTAATAATTTAACTTTTCCGGTTCTAGTTATTTTCCTGACTTTTTGTATTTTTCCATTTTAACATGTTTCTTATTATTATTCAATACTTTTTGCAATTTATATTATTTTATATTATTACGAGTACAAATCTCGAATTTTTACCCTATCAATGAAAGCACATTGAGTCACATGAGAAAATTCCTAGACTATCTATATTTTGATATGAACTAAGCAATTAATTGATATATTTTTTATGTTTTAGGTTGCCAAACATACACTTAACTTATTAACAAAATATAATATGGAAAACAGAAAATCTATGAACAAGTTACATGATAATATTGTAGGTAACCTACAGTATCTTGATAACAGGACGACTCAGCACCTGAAAATATCAGATGATACTAATACTTTCCTCAAGCAAATGAAAATCGAATTAAAAGAAGACTTCAATAGTTATGCTAATAAGGTAAATATCTTTCTATTTAGAATAAATAATAAATAGATTTGCAATATACAATAAACATGATGAACTGATGGAAATATTAAAATCACCTGATCTAGACATATAATAAACAATATCTCTTACGAACAAACTGCAACTGTTGGGGTTGGGAGTCACTTAACAGACGACAAAAAGATAAAAGAGATATGCGACAGGGATGTATACTGTCCCCATTATTATTCAATATGTATTCAGACGCCCAAATTACAATAGGCGATACACCGTTAAAAAGAGTGGACAAAATATGCTATTTGGGCTGCAACATTAAGGATACTTGGGATCACAGCTACGAAATAAAAACTCGTATTGAAAAAGCCAGAAGCTCTTTCAACATTAAGTATCAATATACGCATAAAAATTCTTAGATCTTACGTCTTTAGTGTCCTCCTCTATGGAGTAGAAAGTTGTAGCCTAACAGAAAATGTCATAAAACGATTAGAGGCATTTGAAATGTGGTGCGACCGACGTATGTTAAGGGTCTCATAATTATATACACCACAAAAGTAACATAACTATTCTCCAAAGGCTCCTGGACGTAGACGTATATCCTGGCTGGCCCATCTTAGAAAGTGGACCGGTCTAACATCGACTGACCTATTTCGAGCTGCTGTGAATAGTATAAGATGGGTCAATGTGGTCGCCAACATATCTAGAAGATAGGCGGCACATTTAGAAAAAGATATATTCAGGCCACATAGACACATATAGACGAGGGAATACTTATAAATGGAAAACGTCTGAACAACATAAGATAAGCTGACGATACTGTCATGTTTGCAGATAGTCTGGACGATCCGTAGACTCTTGTCTCAAGTGTAGCAGAAGTAAGTATGTCGTCTCGTCGGAAATAAGGGGTGGAATCACCTTTGCATCCTCGTATGCTCTGAAGAGGGCTTCGACCGTCGCAGGTGAAGAATCCTGTTATGTCCATCTTTAGCTATGGACTATTTGAAGTATTCTGTTCGGTGTATCTTGTCTTGAAAAAGACAAGCTATTTCTTACATAATAAAATAAAATAAAAAACCGATTGTAATCGCAGGAATAACTCATGCTCAGAGTCTGGAAGTGATAGCTGGAACAGAGCCACCAGAGTGCAGGTGACTCTAGGAAAGCCCTTGATGGACTGATTTCTACACAGACTATAGCACTCAATGATAAGTAGCAGAAATGCTTTTATCAAAATGAAAAAGTCTTTAACCGTCACCATATAAAATTGGAAATAAAAGTTCGTTTACTAAAATGCTACATATTCTCGGTTCTTCTCTACGGAGTAGAGTTCTGGACCTTAACTGAGCGTCACAACAGACTCGAAGCATTTGAAATGTGGGTGCTATATTGAGGATTTCCTGGACAGACACAGTTAACATCGAAGTCTTTCTGCACAGTATGGGTAAAGAATAAAAAAATAAAATAAAAACGTCGCACATTGGAATACCTGGGCCATAGAATGCGTAATGAATAACGATACGAGCTACTTCGGATCATACTTCAAGGTAAGGTGCATACAAAAAGAGGTCCAGGAAAATTTATTAGAAAGGACCAACCAAGATGTACAGAGACCATTCAAATTATTTAAAAGTTCTTTGGAGACGAGGGTATGAACAAAATCAATAAAATATTGGTTTAACCGCTTAGAAGCGGCTTCATGTCTATTAACAGTGACCGGTGTTCAGATTCAACTTCCAGTACAACACCGGAAAATCTAGAATGTGTAACTTGCGAACGAAGTCAAATATATTCTAAAACTTTTCAAACCAGAGCAAAAAAACATGGGTTTAGTAGTCGTCCTGAAGAACTTATAGTCGCTAATGAAGAAAATATGCTTACAAATATCATTACCAGTGACAATTCAGGGTTTACGGTTATGATTCCGAATTAAAAAACAATTGAAAGGTCTTCACAATAGAATCTTTCACTTGAGTGTCCATAGTGGTCGTTTTGGTATGAAATTGCTGTGCACATTGAAGTCAATAATAGTATATTACATAACGAGAGTTGTAAGAAGCTTATTACATGCGAGTAAAAAAGTTGCGCGCGAGCCGCGTAGCGGCGAGCGCAGTAATTTTACAAGCATGTAATCAGCTTACAACTCAAGTTGTGTACTATACTTTTTCTACCATTATTTTCGTTTATAAAAATAAAAATTAAATTACCACTATATTTACACTGACGGTTTAATAATTTTTAATCTGTCAAAATAACGTCTGTTAATTCGTTTCCATGGTAACTCGACCAACTGACTTACAAGGCTTATGTGATATTACACATTTTTATATAAAACTGAAGCGTAATTTTTTTTATTACGTGCTAGTCATTATGTGTCAGTATCTGTTATGATGCATTTACTTAGCATCCAAATAGTAGGTATTAGACAATTTACTAGTAAGAGAGTAGAAAAAGAATATTATATTCAAGTTCTAAAAAGATCACCTGAAGTGGTTATAAGAAAACGGTCTCATTTTGGACGAGCGGCAACTAATTTTTTATCACAATAATCCGCCAGCACATTCATCGACACTTGTGCGACCTTTTTGGTAACAGTTTTTGGCGAAACACAAAGTTACACAAATCCAAATGTCTCCCGAAAATGCACTAGGTGGTACACCGTGAGATTTTTTTATGTTTCCAAATCTAAAAATGCCACTAAAAGCGCAATGTTTCGATGACACAGAGAATTCAGAGACTAATTCGAAGGATTCCACAAGCTGGATGACGAGGAATAAAACGTTTGCGAAGTTATCCACCAAGGTTTCATACTTTTGCGGCATTCCCCGTATTATTAAAAGAAGTATATGCTTTACATAAAACACCAAAGTAGAAATGCAAAGATTTCTTGGTTGACGAAACCAAAATTCAGATTTTTTGCTTTAATCTGTGCTTTCTATAAATTGCAAGGCAAAACAAACGATCAATAAAGATGTACGAAAGACATGGGGGATCTAAAAGTTGCATTGAATAAAAAAACTCCTCATCTGAGCAAAATCATTGGTGAACTGGTTTCTTGTACTCATAACGAGTAAACCGAAATAAAAATCCAAATTAATCAAATCTTAACTATCTTTTCTTTTATATACTTTACCTTTATTTAATACTTTTGTATTGAGCTGCTTTATAATTAATGGTAAATTTTAGGTAGCAGATATGAATTCAGATATGTGGAAGAATACAGATACTACAGAAGACGATTTAAAAAATATCGGAATCGTTGTAAACAGTACAAAGGTGGAGCTACAAAATGGAGTTCGCTCGTTAATGATTCAGATTGGAAAACTATCTCACAAAGATGCGGCGCTCGTAAGTGGTAAGCATTTTGAACATTGCATTGTTTTTATGTTTTTAGAGAGGGTTTATTTGTGTCTACGTGTGCGAGAATATGGCTTGGAAGCAGGTCCGTTAGCCACAAATTTTTATTTGAAATTTTTTTTAGCATATTTTAATTTTTTTATATCTATCACTGTTTTATTTAGATGACAATATTTATTTCTTTCAAGTAGTCAATCATTACTTTAGTTATTCTTATATCATGGAAACTTAGTAAATACTTTATCTTCTTATGGTGCCCTATCCAATTAGTGGATGTTGGCGACAATTCTGGCATACTCCTCTCGATCTTGTGTGGATCTAAAAAGTGCATGGGCATCGAGATTTGTCCAATCCCTTATGTTTTTAAGCCATGAGTATTTTTTTTCTTTCGATGCCTCGTTTTCCTTCTATCTTCCCTTCCATAATAAGCTTTAAGAACTGGTACTTGGAATTTCGAAATATATGACCCAGATAAGCAGTTAAATACTCTATTCGCTCCGTGCGTGACCATGGTAGGGGTATATTGAAATGATGCCAGCGTGCGTAGCGGCGAAATATGACAAAATTGGACCTATCTTTTTACGCATAAATTTTATCAAAAATGTGTGCAAATACATATTGCGTATTTAATTGTGCTAATAAGAGCAAAAATAGTGAGTGTAGTTTTTATAGATTCCCAAAGATTATATATAAATTAGAGAAAAGAAAAAGATGGATTCGTGCTATTAATATGAAAAAGTAAATATCACATAATTTCATTTTTATGCAATTGAAATAGGAAAAATTTAAATAATTTACCTTCAATGATATTTCATAAGGCTTCAAGCTAACTGCAGATGACTTTAGCTTTTAATCATAACTTTTACTATTATTGTTTTTAATTACATGCTCTTTTGCGTGACAAACTTAATTTGCCAGTACTACATTTTTCCCTTTCTTGAGTTGAAAAGATATATTATGATGAATTTTGAGAAACCCAGTTTTTAATACTACATTTATTTTGTACATAAACTGAAAAAATATATTTAAAAAACTAATTTATTAATAATTGTCAATTTCGCATGTATTTAACAATGTCAAACATATGTCATATATTTAACCTGAAAATTGGGAGGTCCAAAATTGTCAGATGAAGGCGGTAGGTGTCGCGTCAGTTACACACATATAATTGTTCTTGTTGATAATATACTTGAACAAATTGGTGAATTCACTATTCCTAATTTATGCAGATGTGCCGTATATTTACCGTGTCGAGTTTTTAATCTCACAATAGTAGAAATATCTGCCTTTGATAGGTTATATTTAAATATATATTCAGGTGGTGAAGGGAGTTGTTGATGCAAAGAAAAATTACATATTTTAAGTTCTATTGTGCGCTGTGGTATTTCTTCTACTAATATTTGGAGTTTAGGAACACTATAATTTTCTTCAGTAGTCACTCCTCCATTTAGTAGCTCTTCGAAATATTCTTTCCATCTTTCAGAAATTTGATCATCGTCCACTATCAGGTTTCCTTGCTTATCTTTTAAATTCATCGTTCTTCCCTGGTACCCAGTTCTAATGCGTTTTACCTCTGTCGAAATTTTTTAATTCGTTTTTCTTGTAATTTTCACAAGTTGTCTTGTTTTTGCGTTCGCAAATGTTTTAATCTCAAATCTGATTTTTTTTAACACTGTTCTACATTCGTCATCGAACCAGTGTTTTCTTCTAAATGTTTTTGTTCTTGGTATATTCTTCGACGTTGCTTCCATTATAGTGCTTTTCATTTTCAAGTTCTTTTGTTGTATGTTACTCACAGTAGCACTATCTTGTTTGGCGTAGGATTCTTGTATATACTTTTGATAATGAGGAGAGAAAGTGCCTGTCGGAAATGAAAAAGGGATAAACATTTTCTTTCTTCCCTTATTTCAGTTCCAACCTGCCGAAAAATATTCAAATTTAATACTTGAGTAACGATACATTTTCTGTTAGTTATATAAATTTTGTAAAAAGTTGGAACTTATTAATTGTTTGCGTTTCTTAACAGAAATCTTTTTTTTTCACTTTGATAATTTCATCAACTAAACGTAATGAAAATGTGACGATAACACATAAGACAATAAGTTCGAGTTTCCAACGGTACTTCCAAAGACCATAAGAAATAGTTTATTCATGGCCATCGCCATTGTGGTTTCTTTTTAAAAGTACTTAATGTACGAGCTAAGTACACAATCATTATTTGACCGTCAATTCATATTTGAAATGTCTCTAACATAGTCTCTTTAAATCTTTCTATTTGTTTAACTGACAAGTATGATATTTAGCACATAAAAAATGACTATATTCTAATGACTTTGAAGGATTTCCGCTATCATTAAGGAGGTTAAGTGAATATGAAAACAGGAAAAAACAAAAAAATAACGATTTCTAGAGCGAAAACTAATAAGTACTACTAACTAATAAAAAATCGAAAAATATCGAGAGACATTAAGAGGTACATTGATATACACTTAAATGCAATAATGCAGTCTAATGCAGTGCAATATATGTTGAGACTTTAAAAACTTGTTAAATATTGTATTTATGTGGGACTAAACTACAAATGATTGTAAATAAAAATATCATTTTACCTTTGCTTTGATTTCCACTCAGAAAATCATTTTCAAAAAAGATTATTTTAAGTTATTTTAACCTGTGGTGGTTTATTAATTGGAGCATTGATTTACCAGGTGACAGGTGACTAACTTTGCCTCGATCTTGTAGGAAAATAGCCATATTTTGAATTAAAAAATCGCGTGTCGTGCTGAACCCTCGGGTTGATATTAAACTTTGATTTTTTGTGCTTTTATGTATTATGTGTTTATACATTATGTTTTATATGTAATTATAGATAATGTGTCTCTGAGCTTCCATTTTATATTGGTATGTTCTTGTTGCCTGCTACATTCTGCTGATGGGTTCGATACACATTTTTCTTCATTAAGTAAGATGAGGGTTGCTTCTATGTATTTCTCTAATTAGTACTGTATGTTTCTTTCATGACTTTTATACACCGTGTTCATTGTCATAGGCATATTTGCACATATGCATCTGTTTAAGTCTCTGTTTTTGATATATGTTTCATGCATGTTTATTCTTACACTTGGTGGTCTTGCGGTTTCTCCCACATAAACATTTTTGCATTCACAAGGTATTTTATACATGCAGTGTTTTATCTCTCTAAATTAATTCCTTGAAAATGTAAAATAACTTACGCAAAGATCTTCAAGTTGTAATATCCGCAATTTCACTCTACCAAGAAGAGAAACAGGACATGGTTTAGATTAGATATCCATGGCTACAGTTAATACAGTTAACAGAGATGTGAACTGTGACTAAATGCATGCTTCATCGATTACCAAAAGGCATTCGATTTCGTTAAACTAAGGAATTAATCTGTTCTTTTATATGGCGTGAAGTCATGGACCTTAACTGAAGCATCACTGAAGAGACTTGAAGCATTTGAGATGTGGTGCTATAGACGCATGTTGAGGATTTCCTGGATAGACAGAGGTACCAACGAATAAGTACTACATAGAATGGGCGCGAATAAAGAGCGGGAATTAGTCGTAACCATAAAACGTCACAAACTAGAATACCTGGGCCATATAATGCGCAATGAACAACGATATGACCTACTTCGGACCATACTTCAAGGTAAAGTGCATGGGAAAAGAGGTCCAGGACGGAGAAGAATATCCTGGCTGCATAACCTGCCAAAATGGTTTAACTTAACCACTACCGAACTTTTCAGGGCAGCAGTCAATAAAGTCAGAATAGCCATGTTAGTGTCCAACATCCGTAACGGATAGGCACCATAAGAAGAAGAAGGAATTAAATTAAGGAAATATTAGCAAAGATGGAACAAAATATCGTCTGTATGTACTCAGGCAAGATAGTCAGATGATATCAAAATAAAACATGGAGTTGACAAGGATCTGTACTGTTGCCACTATTGTTTATCATATATTCACATAAAATCTTTCAAGGGAGTGTAAAGAACAATGAAGTCGGAATCAGGCTACACGGGGATCTCATAAACAACGTAAGATTTTTTACCTAACCTTAAGGAACTTACGATTTGTCTTATTGTTTCATTTCTTAAGTGCAACATTCTCTATATACCTGCTGATCTATGCCAAAAATCCATTTCCAGAACAAGGAGTTTTTGTTAGGTTCTATTAATGAGTTGCCAGATTTCACATCCATAAATATAGCTGTTTATTTTTCTGTTTAAGAGATAGTTTTTGACCAGAGTAGTGAGTTTAGGGAGCCTATTATTTTTTCCCTTTTATGATTTCTGTTCGATTTCTGTTGCAGTGCGTCTATCTTTTTACATATTTGCCCCCAAATAGACATTTAGTCTCCATCGATCATATTAATTGCTTTGTCATGAATTGCAGATCTTCCTTGTCCTGTGGATAGCTACTTTATCGACCGCGAAATGAAGCGTATATAGGGTTGTTTCGTCGTTTAATGATATATCCATTCCATCACATGATCTCCATTTCTTCAGTGCCTCACTCAGGTAGATTTTGAAGAGTGTTGAAGATAGACTACAAGCCTTGCCTTCGTCCCTTATTTACATTAAAATTCTCGAAGAACTGGTTGTTAATTTTTATTTTTGATCAAAGATCGTTATAAAATCGTTATATTGCTTTCACAAGGGTAAAATGAATAGATCAGCTTTCCAGGACTTGCTATAGTCTGCATAGGGACATTGTATCCTAAGTTTTCGTCAATTCCACAAATAATAGATGACTTTGCTGCATGATGAGAGTGCTGGTAACTGAGATGAAGTGGTAGTTTTTGCAATCTGCCTTATCCTCTTTTTTATGGATCGGTGTAATACATCCTTCCAGCTTTCAAGTATATTATCTCTGCTTAGGTATCTAATCTATTAAAAAGTTCTGTCATATAACATATTAACAAGCTTTGGTGATGCATTTTTCAAAGACTTCCTTCCTTCTAGACATGATTCCAGTTCCTCGCATTTTAGTTCCCATGTTTGGTTTTATGTTATCTTTTAAAAATTCTTTGTTGATGGTATTAGTTTTCGTCGTCTACTTCTTGGGAGCTAAGCCATTTGTGATATGGTAGTTGCTTTATTTGTTTCTGTTGTTCTAGTTCATCACTCCATAATATGTTCTTATTTTTTCGTCGATAGGTTCGCTCTTCCTTTCCCAAGGCTTTATATGCAGCTCCCTTTAGTGATTCTACTATATAGGCATATAGTATAGTTGTGTCGTGGTTAACATGTATGCACTATTAAGATTCAAGAATAAGTACAGGATTTTTTTAAACTTAAGTAAATAAATTACATAATAATCTCCAAGAACAAAACCCCAACTGAGATAAATAATCTTGAATGAATAACGGATAGAAAGAATCAAAAGATACATATACTTCGGCAAAAACTGTCAATAAAGAATGGAATGATTCCCTAGAAATACGATGTAGGGTAGAAAAGGTGAGAATAGCATTAAAGAAAATGTCTAAATTGTTGAACTATATACAATATTATCCATGAGTACAAAAATTAAACTTCTGAGGTGTTATGTTTTTCTTGTGGATGTGAAATCCTGCGAACATTCAAGGAAGATTCTGACAAGAAAGCACAAGCTTTCGAAATGTGATTAATTTGACTAATGTTAAAAATATCATGGACCTCCCATATCACTAATTAATAGATGCACGAATAAACAAGTAGAATGGATATCAACATTAAAATTTAAAAATATAACATCTGGGGCACAATACATATAAGCAATCGTGAGAGATATGAACTCTTGCAACCGATTCTACATAAAAAAGTCTAGGATTTTTTAGATCAGTTGTGGTAAAGTACAAATTGTCGTCATGAGAGTTACAGGTAAAACAGAATATATCGAAAAACTGAAGTTAATAACATGAGCGCACAAGATAGAAGACTATAAAATATTGGTTGTCAATCTCCATTGAGAAGAAAGCACATTATAAGTATTATCATATTAAACATCTGTATTCAGCTACTACTTAGTTTGTCTGCCCGATGCCAAAATTAATGGCTCGGTAGTTATTTTGATCTTTATGGTCTATAAAAATCTCAGTGGAAACAGTTTACTTTACCAGCAATAAAAATATTTTGAGTCCCATCGATCATCTCCTTATATATTGAACATGTTAGCACATAAACATTAAAAGCTTTAAAGTTGTTTAAAATACTATCAAACTTATGATTTATTTTTTAATGTTTTTAGGTGTTGACTACAAAGATTTAGATAAAAAGCTGACAGCGAACATTGAGAAAATATTAACCAACCAAGATGTATTTTTGGAAAGCTGTCATCGGCTGCAAATGGACGAGTCACAAATAGAATCAGAAATAAGCGTCATGTTAAATAAGCTCATCGACATGTTAGAAAAGAAGTAAGCTTTAATAATCATTTAAAAAATTACTATACTTATGTAAATCAGAACACACATTTTCTGCGACCTACGTCATCACCTTTTAGAGAACTCACAATAAGCCCAATTCATCTCAATTTACTTCTCATATTTATTTTTTTTATTTTTGAGCCTTATATTCCATTATCATTACAATTACCATTAACGTTGATGTTATTTATGTTGACCAATTTATAGTTTCGAATACGTGTTCTAGGGCCCAAGAGGACTTTTTTTACACGTTTTATTAAATATAATATTAAAGTTTTATAAATTCGTAGGTTATCTACAGAAGCAAAAGATATGAAGAATTTCGAAAAAAATCTGAAAAGTCACGATAACAGAATAAACCGGAACATGATGCAAGCAAACCAAAATATAATTTCATTATTCGAAAAATCAACAGTTAACTCCCAACTGCTCACAAACGAAATTAGAAAAGTGGGTACTGATATAAACGCCTTATTTACATTTGTCCAAACTACCATCAACGATGGATCAGCGACTACATCTGTGGCGACAACTAAGGTAAGTACATATTTTCATATAGAAGATATGATATTTTCTAAAACTCTCAAAATATAGAATATACAGTACATATTTTATTGTTTGCACCGGATATACATGGTATCATTTCGTGTGTATAAATGTAATTTTTTTAAATTTTCTTTTCATAGGCTATTAGTATTCGTCTTAACGAAGATAATAACTAGACCAGCCTTAGAAATTAGCTCATTTTTCAAAAAATCTTGTAAACAAATTTAATTTCGCAAAAACTATTCAACTGATCTGGCCCAGTTTAGATTGTGGAGGAAACCTACAAAAATGTCACGAAAAACAGTCGCAGGATTCATATTAATTCTTTAGTTAAAATTCTGAGCAAATTTGGGATGTGAGGGATGTTTATCATGTTTGTTTCACACATTTTTATTAAATGGTTATCCAACACGATAAAGTGGATTTTTCCAATCATTGGCTACACTAGCAGTTTTTGGACGGCCACGTTCAAAAACTGTTTCAATAAAACTATTGTAGCACTGTTTTTAACTGTTTTTCACTGTTTACATAATCACAAGAGATGTCACTTTACCAATTCAGAATAGTGGATAAGTTTCCTCCGAATTCCGTTCTTCTTTCTTTTTTTCCGAATTCTCTCCATTATTTCTTCTAATCCTTCCCTGTAATTTTATTCAATTCAACTATTGTAAAAGCTGTAAATCATTAAAAATTTGTGTCGCCAAATTGAATGCCGCTAATAAAACAAACAATTACGATCTTATATACTCGTAGTTACATTTTTGAATGTATTTTTTTCAGTTTTTGAAGATATCACATTAATTTTGTATTTATTGGTTCCGTCGAGATTATATTTTACCGTAAAATTATTTTGACCATCGATAAATCACCTTGTATTCGAAACAGGCTTATAAAATCGATACCTGTTAACATTGACACTGCAATTTTTAATACTGGTTCGTTATTAATAAAAAAATTATGTGGGGCGAGATAACAATTTTAAAACGGAAATTATCGCTGTTGTATTTTGCACTTGCGGGTTATGCTTAATTTGATTAATTTGTAATAAAATTGATTAGATTTCAAAGGTGCTGGTTTCGTAACTTGTAATTAGGATTCTCGTTGCCAGTTTGATTGGATTATTTTATTAGAACAAGACTTACTGTCTTAGGTCAGACGTATTTTTTTACCTAAAAAAGTGGAAGAAAATATCGCAAAAAGAAAACAAAAGTATAACTGTAGCAAAAGTTAAAGTAGAAACGTACTATTTAGATACCTTAAGTGTAAAATATATCAAATAAAGCAGAATAAGTAAAATTATCTAATTAGATTAATTAGTGCACGAAAGTTATAGGCGATGACAAAAATACTACATAATTTATTAACGAAAAATAAAACAAGATAAAGTTGATTAAGCACTACAAAAAATAAAGAAAGGTAAAGTAGTCATATTAGGACCTAATGAGAATGATTATTGTTCATTTATTATTCATTCATTGAGACATACGATTTAATATCTAAAAATGAGGGCAAACTGGACTATCTTAAAAAAATTGACGAGATTCCATAAAATAAATAACCTACTAAATCATGACAGTGTTTTAAAATCTATAAGGCAGATGGAACAAGATTTTCAATATATCGTCAGTTCAAACATCAGTGAAATATCTAATAAAATGGGTAGTTTTACCAACAAATTGTCTAATATACAAACGAAAAAAGAAGTATTTAAGAAAAATACATTTTATGTCATCTGATACCCAACCTGAGTAACTCAACATTTAGAATCAATAGAGAAAAAGCCAAAAATTACAAAAGATAAATACCATCATGTAGTTGTTACCAACTTAAACCCAAATTACACCCCTATACAAGTTGTTCAGTTTATTAAAGAGAAGCTGGGTATCAAGGAATATATTAAATGTTATGCTCTCCTTCAAGATTCCGACACAGCGACTGGTTGCTCATTCAAAATGAGGAATAAAATCTAAAACCTCCATTGACTTATTATTTAGTAAGGAAATTTAGTCACCTGGTGTAAACATGAAATGGTTTACAGAATCTTCATATTCCGAACTAATGCCTTCATCTAATTCAAATATGAGTCCGACGAACATCAGAAGCCCCGTTAGCTTGGAAAATCCAATTACCATTTTAAACAACAACACAAGTGAAGTGGCAAATACAAAAAAAAAAGGTCACAGACAAGCAGGTCATCGAAATTTGCAAATCGAAGAATGCTTTCCATTCACATATTAACTTCATTCAGTACTGGGTCCTTAATTTACTCTCTTTTAACGTGGATAAAACAGTAGCATTATCCTATAAAGGAGCTCTTCAACCCTTGCTTCTTAATAACAGCCAGATCAGTATAATTGATTCTGTAAAATTTCTTGGTATTTTATAGATAACAACTTTAAATGGTCCCTTCATATTGATTTGTTAAGTAAGAAACTAGCCTCAACCTGCTAAGCAATAAGATCTGTTTCGAAAGGAAATGAATTTAGCATCTTCCAAAATAACATACTTTTATTTGTTCGAGTCCCATCTTCGATATGGCCTTCCTTTTTGGGGTTCTATAGTGTATTTTTATGTATGAGAGAGTAATAAAACAATAAATTATGTATGCAAATCCCTAAACTATTGATACGGGTGACTCAATGAAAAACAGATATTTGTCAACAAGTTTACAGAAGTATATAGGAAAACAATTTTAAATTGAGTATGACCACCAGGTATAAAGGTTGAAGCAGAATAGAATACAATAGTTGTGAGGGTTACTAATCCCTAAATAAGGTTGCCAGTGTCGGAGTGATGGAGGTTAACAGGTACTAATGAATTTGCAAGAAATGTAAGATGTTTATTTTATTGGTTATATATAACCAATAAAAGTTTAATAAGTACCTACCTATTTGCAAAATAAAGTTTAATTCTTTAGATAAAATAAAACGTTTTATTTTATCTGAAATGAGTGCATTCCACGAAGTAAGGGTTTCAACAATCAAACATTTAATTCTTTAATTCCAGGAATCTACGACAGTAATTGACTAGATAATTACCTTCTAAACTTATTCCACAGAAAATGTGATAGTGGGTTTTTCCATTTTGTAGGAAGGTCCAAGTGGCGTATTCAAAATTCTTAACAGTTCACTAAAAGTAGGTACTTCAGTTGCAAGGTGCAGTTTATTGTGTATACTAGTGTTATGGAAAATTTGGAAGTGCCGTGTAAACGCCGAAATATTGGTCCTTTAACAGTTAATGAAAAAACATTAATATTTAATTGTTTTAAATCATTTACAGACAAACGTTTATGTGAGAGTGTTGATGAGACCGTTGAGTTAGTTAGCAGTACACTTGGTGCTGGGAAATCTACGATTTACAGAGTTATTAAAGAAGAGAAATGTGGTAGTTTTCAAATGCCACGTAATGCTCCAGTGAAACCAAAATTTCAAATAGAATATCATTTTAACGAAGGACTTCGACGGAAAGTGCATGAATTCTTCTTTAGACAAGAATTTCCAACATTGGATAAAGTTCTTGTCTCAGTTCGAGATGATAAGGACTACCCAGAAATGAGTCGAAGTACGTTATGGAAACTTTTAAAAGAAATAGGCTTCCGCTGGAAAAAGAATCCCAGAAAGTCTATTTTATTAGAAAGAAGCGATATTGTCATATGGAGAAGACATTTTCTAAGAACCATAAAGGAAATGAGAAACCAAAAAAGAAAAATATTTTATCTTGATGAAACATGGATCAACGAGGGTCATACACCAAATAAATTTTGGCAGGATGAAACTGTTACAAGTCAAAGGCACGCATTTGTAAATAACTTATCTACTGGTTTAAACCCACCATCAGGAAAGGGACGCAGGCTGATAATAGTACACATTGGCAGTTCAGACGGTTTTGTTGAAGGTGGTTTATTAACTTTTGAATCAACTCGTACCGGTGACTACCATGAAGATATGAACGCTGATGTCTTTCAAGAATGGTTCGAACAAATGATAGATCTTCTTCCTAAGAACTGTGTAATAGTAATGGATAATGCAAGTTATCACTCCAGACTTATAGAAGGACTGCCCACAACCAAGTGGTTAAAAAAAGACTTGCAGAATTGGCTGAGTTCAAAAAATATTACGTACCATCCCGGACCTATAAGAAAGGAACTTTATTCGTTGTGTGCCCTTCATAAAGAAAAATTTAAAAAATACGAAATTGATGAAATTGCCAAAAATCGTGGAATGACAGCACTTAGATCCCCACCATATCATTGTGAATTAAACCCGATTGAACTGGTATGGGCACAGATAAAGAGTGAAGTTTCAAGAAAAAATACCACTTTTAAAATTCATGATGTTAAACAGTTGTTTTTGGAGGCCGTAAATAATGTAAAACCTGAAAACTGGGAAAAGGCAGTAAATCACACTATTAAAGAAGAGGAAAAAATGTGGAAGCTGGACAATATTACTGATAAAATGATCGAGCCAGTTATTATAAATCTTGGTTCTGAAAGTTCATCTGAATCTGATTTGGATTTGTAACAAGTAGCTGTAAGTTTTATATTAAATTTTTATTCATCTATTTAACATACCTTAGACGGTTTTAAAAACTCTTTTTTTCTTTTGTAATTTTTAAAAATTAAAAAAAATGTGAATTTTTTAAAACCCTTTTTAATGTAGGCCAGTCAGTTCTAATATAGTGTGTGATAAAAGAGGTCACTTTTGTTTACATACACATAACACTTTATAACACTGAAATAATTCATTTATTTTTTACAATTATTCAAAGTAATTTTTCAATTAATCTTGAGCACGCCCATCGAGTGGTCAGAGGTACCAGTTAAAATTATGCTAATTACTCTCTCGTTCATAAAAATAAACTATAGTACAGTTGCTCAATCTGATGTTATTTTATATCTGATGAGATTTAATCAAACTTGTGCTCGATAATTGCCTTATTTTCAAAGTTTAAACAATAAAAAAGTTATATTCGATGTTTTTGAGACTCCATGTTTCAGCTACGTATGAAACAATGGGAAAAATAAGGGCATTGACCAACCTGAGCTTAGTATTAAATAAGGCTAAATGATTATTATCAAAACTCGAGATTTTCACTAATTTCAGTCTGATTAATACCAAAATGATATGTAAAATATTATTATGTCGTTTTTGAATTGTTATTAAGAAATTATGGACAGGAAATTATCACTTATAGGGCAAATACCGCTAAATTTTTCGATGCTTGTAACCTTGTTTGGGATTTTTTATATAAAAGGAAAATATTCCCTATAATTTGCTTTGTTTTCATAATTTTCTGAAACTTGGAATAACAATTATTTTTTCAAAAAGTTTAGTACAAACCTTTATACGTTTTATCTTAACATAACAACATTTTTTGGGCTACTTCAAATGGATTGTAAGAATTTCATCGAAATGCGGTGATTATTAAGAAAGGTATAACGAAAATTCTTTGTCAGTTTTGTTATTTACAAATTTTTTATTCTATATATGTATTATATTTATGTTATTTTTACAAATTGTTTTAAAATTACTTGTTGCTATTTTGTAATATTGGTTTGCACAAGGTGTTTTAACATTCAAATTGTTTTGCAGATTATTCTGGACAAGTTAATTTTACTGGAAAGAACTACCAGGGACATTCAATATATACTCTATAATGAAAAACCAGAAAATGTATCTAATTATCAAATCCATAAGGAAATTCAAAGATTAACTAAATCACTAACGACGTCAATTGAGAAGATAAATAATTCCTCCAGAGACTCCCAGTTATGTCAAAACAATGTCAAACAAAATCATACAGTAAGGCCACCTCAATTGTTACCTACGTCCACAATAAATCCTCTAGAAGATGATTCCTTAAGAGAATCTATTGCCAAAATATTTGGTGAAAAACCCAAGCCAAAGAGAAAATGCAAGCAGAATGTAAGGAATTTAATAGATATAAGAGCAGGTACTGATTGTGAAGAACAAACGAAAAATCAGAGAAGGCCCGCAAGAAAAAGGAAAATGAAGTATGATATCGACATAAGGGCAGATGTTGGTTCAAATAATAATGGAAACGATTATGAAGATGAAGATTATAACGATACGACAGCTACAACAACAGAAGAATCAACCACTACAGAAATCATAACTTAGGTCAGGTGTATCTTAAAAGTTAGAGCTATCAACTTAAATTCACTACATCCTATTTTTATATACCTATTTGTTAATATTATACTTTTTGATATTTTTTCAATAATCCAGACACAAACATAAAGCCAGTATTTGTATCTACAATATGTAAATATTTATCTTCTGTATTTTACTAGTGTTGTCAAAATGCAAGAACAAGACGAGACTTAGACAGTATTGGTCTTGCGCCAATACATCTGGTCTAGGTCTTGATATTGCGCCCTTGATCTTGGTCTTGACCTTGCAGCAAGAGTCTTGCAAGTCTCGCAGTTACACTTTGGCCTATTGCTATTTAATAAACGTTACTTTAGATCTTAGAACAACGTAACAGAGTGGGTACATTTTAAGGTTGAATTAACATAGCCATAATAAAGACCAACTAAATTAATAAATGTCTAAACAACTGACACCGGGTGAGGTTTGAAACCACGATCTAAGCAATCCGTGGCTGTGCTCTAACTAACCGAGCTATCTTCCATGTCCCACGGGAGCCAATCTCTTGGAATCTCTATTCCTGCTTTTAATAGTTATAAATACAGATCCATATTTTTGTGTTTGTTTAATACAAAGTAATACAGTTTACTGAACATACCATTTATATAAATAAAAATACAACCCAAATTAAATTACAAGATAGTACATCAGCCTTTGACATCACTGTTACTTTATATTAATTCCTTTGACCAAGAATTAATACAAAGTGACCATCTGGCTGACTCATCACTTAACCTATTTCTATGTTTTCTAATTACTAATGATGCTTCAGATAATAATCTCTCAGCAAGTATTGAAACAAAATCAATCTTCGATGAAGTCTGATATTCTGTCTCAAGCGTCCTCCACCACTCTAAAATGTCTTCCGTGCTAGCGACTCTGGGTTTACTTACGTACGCATCCAACTCATCAATAACTAAGCCCTGATGACAAGATCCAGATGAAGTAGAGGGACATGCATACAGTTTCTCAGTCTATTAAGTCTTTATCTTCAGCATATTCACATACTTTCTTTTCATTTCTTGGTAATTCTACTGAGCCCTATGTCTTGGGTCTAAAATTAAAGAGATACAATAAACTCAGCTGCTCTTCTTATATTCTTTAAGCATTTTGTCTCGAGCTGCTTGAAAACCCAGAATGGCTTTTTATCCACTTCAGATCGATTAGGTTTCTCATCAATTGTTTTACGATGGATTCTATTTTATCGAGCAAGAGATTGAATGATGCAATGACTAATGCTAATGTAACACATTTTACTCCACCAAGTTTCGTTGACAAAAGTTTAAAGTTTATTAGAAACTTATGTATTTTTCAAGCATTTGCTATTCACTCTCTGTGATTTGAAAATGATTCAATTCGGTGACAGATGTGCACAATATGTTAATGCCAGTTCTTACTTTTAAAAGAAATCCAATCATATTTATAACGTGTGGAATTCCATCTCGTTGGACAGACAAGTATGGGATTCAGATTTGATGGCACCGCAGCTGCTTCACAAGCAGACTGAAACTTCCTCTTCAATATCTCACTTCTTTTTATTTTACTGGAAATACTGCGTAATTTTGTTATAGCTGTACGTGAGTCAGCAGCCATGAAAAATATTTGGCGCATATTTTTCATCTTCCTCAGTTTCGTCTTCATAGGTTTCATACTGCTGTTCTTGTCCGTTATTGTCAGTTTCACTGAGTAATACTAAGGTCTTTAATAGATCTTTACACCAAGGTTCAAAATGTGAGCAAAGCATCGCAAATGTTGATTGTCTGAATCAAAATGTGGCAGCTGTTTGCTCAGTTCATACATACATTTGGTAATTGCAATTGCGTTGTCGATATTTTAGTTTTACATTGTAATTATGACCTCTGAGTACGTGTCAAATTTTCTTGTAATGAATATTTTGATTTGGTACGTATGTTTATGGTATTGTTCGTAATGGGTATAAGTCCAATTTTCCAAATTTTTATTACATATTTTTTGCGTCTCATAGAGTCTCTAAGCATATACCCGAACTACTATACTCCCTAAAACGATACTCAGACCTAACTGCAAGACGCAAGAGTCTCACAGGCTTGGTCTTGTTCTTGCTCATATCTTGCAGTCAGTCTTGGTCTTGCTAAAATTAGGCGGTCTTGCAAAACTAAGACCGATTTTGGGCAACACTATATTTTACCACAATTTTACTACTTTAAAAGATGTTTTTGTATTAGTAGAAATAAAAAAACTTCAAGAAAGTCAAAATGTGAGATTAACAGATATACCTAAATTAATTTATATTTTAAAGATTCCATTTTTTAAAAAGTAGTAAGATATAAACTGTTATTTATTACTATATGTACTTATGCTGTGAAATTGTAAATAAAACCATTTGTATGTTTATTTTTAATGTTATACTAACAAAATTATGTATTAAACAGTATTATGCAGACAGTCTTTATTTAATTTAATTACCGTTAAGAGATACGCTAAATATGAATGTTCTCCGGATTTATATCGCCTTCGAATTAGCGTTCAAATATACTCCAAGGGGAATGTTATTTTACTCGAAGTTCAGTTGTGTTCATAGGAAATCTTTTGTAACTGCTTAGATATCTACCATGATTTCCATCGAGTGGCCATGCTATCTAATTTAATTTCCATATTCCAATTTCAATTAGATATTCTTATAACACTAGCAAAATGTGATTTTATATTGTCTTGTATGTAAATAAATTCCTTGCCGATAAAATGTGAATATAGAACAATGGTCTGCTAAAATCTTATTAATTTATAATTGTGATATCAGAACATCTTCAACAAAAATCAGCTCAGTACCACCTTCCACTGATATTTCGGACCATACCATTAGTGATCCTCCACCATGACTAAGGCTAAAGATAAAAGTAAGTATACTCCAAAAGTACTTTCTTAAGAAGAAGAAATATGGAAATTTAGTAATTCCAATGTTAGAACTATACAGAGGAAAGAAGAACAATTAGAGATAGATTTCATATAAGAAAATTAAGTAATAAAAAAACCAGTAAATTTAATTGTATATAGCAAAATAAAAGAAAATAAGAGAGCTGCGATAGTTGTAGGATGTATAGTTCATAAAAGAATAGCAGAACATACAAAAAATTGGTAAGTCTAGTCAGAACGAATAGTTCAAATAGAAATAGATCAAAATTTTACTATAAAAACAATAATAAAATGTTTATTACTCCAGTTATCAGAGACGAAAATGACACTGAACTTCTAAAAATCATACGAACAAGCTGAAATTTGCTGAGAATAAAAATTTTGGGATCCCCAAAAGATGCAAAAGGGTTTGCCACTCCTATCCCCGGTTGTCCCTAAAATCTCCCTGGTTGAGGGAGAAAACTGAAAACATTGATTTATCACGAATCTCTACGCCTTAGAAAAAAATGTGTCAAGCAAGAAATGTGGCTGAGACAATTTTGAACAAAAATTTTATTAGCACTTTTTATTCAGAATGAACCCTTCACTCAGAAACAACGCTTGAATCGACCACCGATTTTGAATGTCAGTTATGCACGCTAAATCAATTTTTAAATAAAATTTGTATCAACTCGGCGGAAAAATTGGATATCTCAGAGTGTTGATCAGAGTGTTTAATCAACAAAAATCAAAATGTGTTTTAAAGAGGAAGAGTGTAGCTTTCATATCCAATGTCTCATATTTGTTGCCAAAACTAAAAATCGAAATTTCGATAACTTTTATTCATGTCATGAAAATCGTAAAAAAAATGAAAAAACATTTACTTATTTAACAGCTTTATAGAAACTGACTGCATTTGGGTCAAAATACAAATATTGCAGAGGAAAGCTGCACTATTCACCTTTAAAGCATATTTTAATTTTTGTTGATAGGACACTCTGATCGAAATACTTTTACTGTGATATGAATTTTTACTGCCGAGTTTATAATCTTCCAATCCTAATAATTAGGTTAGGTCAAAGGTTCTCAAAGTGCTTCATCTCTTCAGGCAGAGCCATGCACTGAAGCATTACTTATTGTTGGTTTGCACAGTGCAAAAGCTAGAAAACCCCATACCATTGCTAAGGAATTGATTAAACCTTGCATGAGGGATGTCATACAATACATGTTAGGTCCAGATATTATCAAGAAGATTGATAATATGCAGATGTCAAACAGCATTATAAGCAAGAGAATTCACACTATTTCAGACTTTGTAGAGAGAGAGAGAGAGAGAGAGAGAGAGAGAGAGAGCTTATAAATAGATAAAAAACTTGTGAATTCTTCAGTTTACAGCTTGATGAAAGTACCAATGTTGGTATACTTGCTGTTCTGCTTGTGTTTGTGAGATTTCCATTCGGAATGAAAATAGAAGAAGAACTCCTTATGCGTGAAGAGCTTAAAAGTTATGCCACTTTTGAAGAAAGATTTAAGGCTATCTACGAGTATATAAGAAAAAATGATATAGAGTGAAGTAAATGTGTGGATATTTCCAGTGATAGAGCAGCTGAAATGGTTGGTAAAATTAGAGGGGCGGTGTATAGAATAAAGGTAGTGGCAGAAAATGCCTCCAGCAGTCATTGTATCTTACATCGCCATTCTTTGACAATTAAAAAGATGCCGCAATAAAGACGTATTGGATGGTTCTGTGAAATTAATTAATTATGTGAAGAGCCATCCGCTTCAAGCACGCCTTTTAAAGCTCACCGCTGAAGATATGAGTATCATTCACTTCAATCTTTTGTTCCACACAGAGGTCGGGTGGCTATCGCTTGGAACAATTTTAGGGAGACTATTTGAACTAAAAGATCCACTAATTATCACAATTACAGAAGAGTCTTTAATCCAAGAATTAAAAAGTGTCAATTAGCTGCTATTGCATATATGGCTGCTAAAGTGTCGATTGGGATACCTTTCAGACATCTTCGAAATAATAAATAAAACCACCACTTCGCTTCAAGGCACAATGGGAGCACAATTAGATAAAATCAAAGCCTTGCGTAAAAAAGTTATATTTTTCAAAGCATGTGTTGAAAAGAGGAACCTCACAAATTTCTCTCAATTACAGGAATTTGTTATAACAAAAATTAAGTCAATCCTCAAGTGAACCTCTTTGAAATTATTATTGCTCATTTGCAAGGTTTGGAAGAAAGTATTGTAAATTATTTTCCTGCCATGGACGCAGATGACTTATATAGCTGGATGATGGACCCGTTTTCGTGCAACCCAAAAAATAAACCTGTCAAAATGACAAATGAAGTTTTTCAAAATTTACTTGAGATCAGCGAAGATAGCAGTTTAAAACTCAAATACTGTGAAGGAAGCCAAGAAGCATTTGCTTACATTAAAAACAAATACAGAAGCAAAAACTTCAAGAATCAAGGGATTTGAGGGTCAAACTTACAAAGATTCCCATAATTATAAAGGATACCTATAATGAAAACATCATCAAAACAGTTTCATTTATCACATTAAGTAAGGATATTTGAAATCAAATGAGCCTCATAATTGTACTTTTATCCTTTTTTGTCATTTCCCAAATTGTTTCAAGAGTTGGTGTGCCTCAAAATATTTTTAGCCCTACAAGGGTGCCGCGACTAGTAAAGTTTGAAAACCACTGGGTTAGGTTATATGGTTTTGTGATTTTGAGTATTTTGGTTATTTCTTCATTTAATAATTTTATAATTTAACTTCCTTGAAAAACAGACAGAGTCATGTCTAGATAAAAAGAAGAAGAAGAACTTCATTAATTGGATCAGCCTAGTATCATGTCCTCTGTTGTACCTTCTGCTCCACATGGTCAATTAGTATCTGTAGAATCACTTAATTTGATTTTAAATTTATACTGAGGAATTAAAACATGGTTGAACCTTGATCTGTATAATACAATTTCTGACAGTCTTGAGAACCAAGATTCTTATGAAATGTTAATATGACCTTAACAGTTATGATATAACTTCTTAAAACAAAATCACAGAATGTGTTTCCCCATAAAATGTGTTTTCCCACTATTAAATATCTTAATTATTAATATACTGTATAACTGGACAGGTGAAGCTTAAATTTAGTAATTCTGTCATGTACTAATGATGAAGGAAGAACTATTTTCAATAACATATTTGTATAATACAATATATTTGTAAATTTATTACTGAATATTGGTTATTATAGTGGCTATCCACACTTTGTAGATAACCAATATACACTTGAACATTTATACTTAAACAGCAAATTTTTCAACCAAACATTTCTTCTGACCTTAAAAAATTTCTACATTGAATTAATTGCAGTAATTAAATTCTAATATTTTTCACACTATATGGGGTTTTAAGGGTGCCCTCAGAAACCAATTAAAAATCCAAATTTCACAGGAATAGTTTAAATTTCTTGTTTGTGATCTGCCTAGGGCTTATTTTTAGATTCTTTGTATAGTTGTAGTTATATTCCAGTTTTTCAGTAAACCATGCTGATAATGTTTATATTTCCAAAACATCTACATTACTGAATTGCATCACTGAATTGAAATCTTAACAATAAATCTAAATAGATGGTACCCAAAAACTAGTTTTAAAATATGACTTACCTCTACCTTTGCACTGTTCTGAAAAATGGTTTGTGCCTTATGTGTAAGTTGTGCAAAGCAAGAACTTAAAGTGCATAGCTTCTGACGAACATTGAAGACCAAATTAGGTTCTTCAGATTCCAATTCACCTAAAATATAGTTTAATAGTATTCAAAAATCACTTTTAGTTTCTGAAATTTTTTGATCAATATAATCAACAAGAATATTATTATAATATTATAATATATAATATATTATAATATATCCTAAATTTAGATCTTGAACATCTTGATGAAATTTTCATGTGAGAATTTCCTATCAATTAACAAGGTAAGGTAACTTCTATAAAAACCACCTAAGAAAGCCTTTATGTATGCTCAATATATAATTAATTATGCATTGATTATAACCTTACAGTAATTGTAATTTCAAATAAAACAAAGGGGAATATACTGGAAAATCAACCACCTTTTTGTGTGGAACACATCTTTTTATTCTACAATTTAAAATTATTAAAGTTTTCAGATTTATATTTTGTTTGAAAAATAGGTGTATTTAAAATTAATAAAGTTGAAAGAAAACGACTTGTCTCCTTTTACTTAAGTTCAAATTAATTTGTTAACAGATTCACCAATAACGTTATTCTTGTAGGGTTGATAAAATCTATGTCTTTTACAATTTGCCAATGAAAACAATCAAACCAGTAATGACACTGGTGTAGAATATTTGTAATTTCTTAAAAATTAAATAAAATGGTACATAACAAATTATGGAACTTACTGATGCTTAGATCTAAGTCGACGAAGGCTTTATCAAATTCTTTTTCTAAAATATCTAGCCATCTAAAACCGACACTAGCCATTTTCACAATTTGCACTTAATACAAAAAGTGCCACCATTTATAAATTATTGTAAACGTCAAAAGTTGACGTTGGAAAAGTCAAAATTTGACGTTGGAAAACACAAATCTTCTTCTTATCAATATTACCTTGACCCACAAAATGCTCAGAATACCTACAAAATATCAGATTGTTGAAATATACACACGTAAATATAACTGTGGAAAGTATGAAATAAAATTTAAATCAATCGAACAATTAGGAAATATCAACTGTACATTTAAACATATTTAAGACAAAAATTTTAAAATACTAAATCCTAAAGATAGCCATACATATGGAAAAATAACAAAAAATGCTACTTTTATTTAGATTTTATTTATTTTGCTTTAATCTTTAGAACCTTAACGGGAGTACCAAAAAATAATTTTTTTATATTCTCCGAACCGCTTAATTATTTATTTTTGTGGGAATGCTCATATTTGTATTATTTTTTATATTCTATTTATTTGGTTTAATTAAATCTAATATGTGTGTGTGTTTTATTGGCACTGGTTTTGACAACCAACTGGCCAGTCAATAAAATCTAATATGGAATAATTATAAATAATATTGTGCATTTTCTGTAGCAGATTTGTGACCGTAACAACACAACGCAATAATTATATAGGTTCCTATATGAGCGATATCTTACACAAATTGTGGGGATTTTTCAAAGAATTCTTTCTTTACACAGTATTAATTTACACAGAATGTATTGTTATTTATACGCATGATACTATGATAAGAAGATAATATATTGCGCATAAGTCGTGACGTCATTGGAGAGTTGCACGTTCGAAATGTCAGTTTTTTGTATATGTCAATAAATAATATTTAATAAATAGTTTGGAGATATCCTTATGTGTACGATTATTGTAATTATTAAACCTCTTAACTTATTTTCGTCTAGTAATTTCATCACAGAATGCATACAAACCCCATTTAACTTTAACAAGAATTCAAATTCTACTCTCCAATGACGGCATGCGCGAACACGACCGATTTTGTGCTACGGGAAGATCCTATCTTGTTATTCATAGCACAGAATAATAAACATACAGAATACCCACTCTCCACGGAAAATTAAGTACGCGCATCTCCTCCGCGCAGACGTTCCGCCATGTTTTAGGAGGATTTTAAAGAAATTATGTGGTGTGCATGGAAAAATTAACCAGGTTTATTTGACTTACGGCAATCATAGACATACTATACAATTATATTAACATTGTTAAATATTGTTCTGAAGCTAATAATAACATAAATATAATATAATTAAACATAAATATAAACAATTACATAACCACACAAATCATATGTCTGTGTCCTCCTCAAACATGGCGCGCGTGCTGAAAAACTTCAAAGGCGGCATCTGAGAGTGTCCCTTCTGATTGTTTATTATTCTGTGTTCATAGTATCATGATTTATACGTGTAGTATTGCGGCACAGAACAGAAATCAATTTTTATTCGTTCTGCGCTCGTGGATTGTCAATACCACGTGTTAACTGTCAAAAATGTCAAAAACAACAGTACCTTTTCAATTTCAATAATAAATAAGCAAAGATAGGCACGCGACACACATTAGACTCATTGTAGTAAAGTTATTAGAATATCTGCCAAAATGGCAACTTTAATAAAAGATGTAACACTCCAGGAAAACATTCCAACACATATACTTCTTGACAAGCACATAGATTTTATTAAAGAATATGGACAAAAAGAAAGTACATATGAATACGGTATGACTGATTATTTGAGAATATCGGGCATGTATTGGGCACTTGGGGCTCTAGAACTTATGAACGCCACTCCAGCTCAAAGTATAGAAGAGGTAAGGATCTGTATATTTTAGGTTGAATTAAATCATTTAACTTTTAAATACCCTTTTCTATTGAGAACTTTGTCTAACTTTGGACATTACTCTTATTTCAGGTGTTTCACTATACTTTCTGATATATTTCTATAGTTCAGGTATTAGTCCATCTTATTTGAACTATAAATACCATTTGTATTTGTGTGTTCCCTAAATGACATTTTGGAGCATTGTGTTGTGTGTGAAACTTTCTTTAAACCAAGTGTTTTATTTTTATCTTTTCACATGCCATATCAGAATTACTAGTGATTACCGTTTCGAAGGTTTCTAGCTTCATTTTTATATAAATTTTCCACTAGATCTCTGTTTCTTAATTTTTTTGTTCTTAATGCTCTTTGTTTTAACTAGTTTCTTATAATTATAATAATATTGTTTTAGATCACAGAATACATAAAGAATTGCCAAGATCCAGAAAGTGGTGGAATTAGTGCCTGCCTAAACCATGATCCCCATATTTTACATACACTTAGTGCTGTTCAAATTCTCTGCATCTACAATAAATTAGAGGCAATAAATGTAGAGGGTGTTGTTAAATATATTGCAAGCCTTCAGTTACCTGATGGTAGTTTTACAGGAGATAAGTGGGGTGAAGTTGACACTAGGTTCTCATTTTGTGCAGTTGCAACATTATCATTGCTTAATAAAATGGATGCAATTGATGTAAATAAAGCCATAGACTTTGTTATACAATGTAAAAACTTTGATGGTGGTTTCGGATCTAGGCCACTTTCAGAAAGTCATGCAGGGTTAATGTACTGCTGTGTTGGCTTTTTATCTATTACAAATAGGTGAGTTTATATGTTAAATTTAAATTTAGTTTCTTATGAATAATTTAGAACCCAAGAAACAAGCAATTGCTATGCAAATTTTACATTTACATAGTTTTCAAATAGTTTTTAATACCTAATAGTTTATTAATAACCTAAGTATATATATATATATATATATATATATATATATATATATATATATATATATATATGTATATATATATATGTATATATATATATATATATATATATATATATATATATATATATATATATATATATATATATATTGCACATGTGTATTTATATTATAAGAGTACATTGGAACTAGGTTTTGGAACCAGATGATAGAGAATATGGTATGCTTGAAGTTGCAGTGGGATATATTTATTTATTTATTTTCAATGGGCTGGTTGCCAATAAGATCAACAATATTTACAATAGTTATATTCCAATATACTTATTTAAAAGATATTTTCAATGTATGTGTGCTAATTAAAAATACAATAAAACAAAATCAAATATAAACATCACAAACTTAATCACATAATTTAGTTTTACACATGAAAATATGACTACCTATTCCACAGCCACACAAATAAAGATGAGGTCTAACCAAAGAACCAAAGTGCATCTTTTTATAAAGCCAAGCATTTGTAAAGACCTGAAAATTATTGACATAATGAGATTCAAATAAAAGTTTAGAGTCTAAATTAATTCGTAGATCATTAATTTCAGTAAACCAGTCAACAAGAATGTTCTGTATATTATAATTATATTCTATTAGGTCTCCCCATCATCCAAAAGAAACAGCGTGACAATTGGATGTGTTCAGGACCATGGCATTCAACACACATTACTTACTTAACCAATCAAGATCATGTTGAAGATTAACACAATCTTCTGCATTATTGATAATTGTATAGAACTTTAGATCACCTGCAAAAAGAAGAAGTAAACTGTGATGGAAGCTGGAAGAAGTGGTGTATATCATTGATGAATATGTTAAATAACAGGGGCCTCAAATGAGAGCTCAAAGATATAGCTCAGGCAAATTGGCAAGAAGTACTGTGTAAGGGACTTTGGCTTAGCAAGGTATTCAGAAAAATTTCTGTTTCATACACATCCAGAACAAAAGCCTATATTTTTCCTGTGGCTAATTAGAGGTAGATTTGTAGTTATTAACATGTACAGGTCAAAAAAGCATACTTTTGCTATACAGGGCTGTAAGGGAATACATATTGACTGGTCATACCTGAACCATCTGAAGTTCTCAGACAATATAGTTGTGATAGCAGAAAATGTAGAAGATCTGTTTGAAATGATAGAAGGATTAAACTAAATATCTAAAAATATAGTGCTTCAAATGAATTATAGAAAAACAAAAATACTGAGCTGTAGAGATACTGAGACATCTCCATAAATTAACCACCAAAAAAGTCGGTACGTAAATATATCACAGCCACACTACCAATTTAGCAAGGAAAACCAAAACACAGAAATTACAAGACATTTTAACCTCACATGGGCAGCATTGGGTAAGATTCATTGTTTTAAGACCCAACCCATACATCTTAAAACAAAGGTGTATAATACTTGTATTCTACCAGTTTGACACTAACAAAAGCCAGCACACAGAAACTCAAAAACAGCAGAGAGAGCTATCGAACCAGCTGATATTATAAGAATGACAATTAAGAAAGACCAAGAGAAGTGTAGGGCACCCTCAAAAGAGCTAGATAGACAGCATAAGAGAAACATCAGGTAAGAAGTGAATACCAATCATGCACGATAGAAATCAGTGGAAAGAAATGGAAGAGGGAAAGGGAAGAGGCCTATATCCAGAAATGGGTAGCTACAGGCACAGAATAATAAACAATGAGAATGCCCACTCTGCTTAAAAAAAAGTAAGTATGTGCATCTCGTGCAGACGGAATCAGTCATGTTTTAGTCAGACCCAGTGCTGTTGAAGATTAGATCAGTGCATAGACAAATTAACCCGGTTTAATTTATTTACGGCAACTACAGACATAACTATTTTGCACTATTTTATTCGTACTTTTAGTTAAAGAATGGAATAAATTAAATTACAGTTCTGTCGTAGCTTGTCATAAATTTCTCAATTCGAGTCTATGTTTCCGTCTAAAACATGACGTTCGCTTGCTGACAAACTTCAAAGGCGGCATCTGAGAGTGAGCATTCTGATTGTTTATTACTCTGTGCTGCAGACAGAAGGAGAAATATTAAATATAATTTAATTTTAATGGCTAGTGAGACTTTTAGTCAATAACATAAGTTATGATGTTGATTGGTAAGGAGCACAAAAGATCAAATGGTGGATGGATTAAAAATATGAGAAATAAAGTGGCTAATTTTATTAAATTTATTGTAATTGAAGTAATTTGAAAGGCTCAACAAAGCTATTTGATACCGAGAAGAACATTAATATAATATTAACATAATAACCTGTTATAATCTGTTTGTATATTGTTAAACAAGTAATGATTTTTTTTTTATTTTATAGGTTAGATGCCATTGATAGAGATACCCTTGCTTGGTGGTTGTGTGAAAGACAATTACCCTCAGGTGGTTTAAATGGCAGACCAGAAAAATTACCTGATGTATGTTACTCATGGTGGGTATTATCGTCATTAACCATGTTAGGCAGGCTCCATTGGATTGATGCCAATGCTCTGAAAAACTTTATTTTGGCTTGTCAAGATACAGAGACAGGAGGATTTGCAGATAGGCCTGGTGACATTGCTGATCCTTTTCATACCATATTTGGGTTAGCAGCCTTGTCCCTTTTGGGACATGATTCTGTAAAGCAAATTAATCCTACGTACTGCATGCCACAAGAAGTCATTGATAGGTTACAATTAAAACCTCAGAGGTTAGAGCAATAAGATATTTTAATTTAAGTTATCTTATTAAACGCTGCTTTAATGTTAACAAGTATTAATTAAAAACAGTATCATACTAAAAGTATCATGGTGTTAAACTAATATTATTCTATTCATAATATATTTTACTGGTCATGTTATGCACCTGATTTTGATTGTTCGTCGCACATGTTTCATTCCATTGAAATTAACAATTTGATGTCGCATTTCCTCATACAATAGTTTTTCCAATTATCGTCTGTCCAGTTAAGTGGCGACATAAAAATTCAAGTATTGTTACTGTTCTGTCTTTACCTGTCGTCATGCTGTAATTTTGAAAAATCCCTTTAATGCATCTGTTAGTCCAAATTGTTCTTTTTCTTGGTCATTTCAATTTCGTTAGATTTTGTCTATCTCCCATTTTATAACTCAAATTGTTTTGAAATTTTTGGTTTGTTGTTTACCTTCCATGAAATCAGTGAGATCGCATCCCACTGTTTTAAGCCTCTAGAAATTTTAATATAATTAATTTGAATAAAGGGTTGAGATAAAGTATGGAACCAACTAAATATCTTTCTAACAGAAAAGAGGCCATACATAAAACTTTGCATGTACATATAATAACACATGACTCATCTAACGTCATGTACATACCAATTTTGGAAGAAAACATTTGTTAAAACGAGAAATAAATCACTTTATATTTAAAGAATAGGCAAATTTATTTGCCAACGCTAATAATGATTTAAAAATGTTCAAAATGCTTGCAAAAGTGCACATCATCACAATGTGTATGCCTCAAATGGCTATTTACTAGCTTAATAGGACTTGTCTTCATGTGAACAGCGCATGTGCAGCCGCCACTTTTTTACATCACATTTATTAAATAAAAAATAAAGTCCAATACGAGAAATGTTATCCAAATATGTTACCAAAATATGCAACATCGACACAGTATTTATTTGAAAGTTTACCATTTGGTAACATACCTCCATTCTTTATTCTTCTTTATCCATTCTTTAACATGGTAATTTATTCTCGAATAGATATGTTATGTTTGTGGACTTAAATGATCAGATGATCACAATGTATTCAGTATTTAAGATAATGTTAAAGTTGCGTTTAATAAAATATTAAAAAGAAGTGATTTTTTCTAAGAGTAACAATAGTTTTCCTTTTAAGTGTTAAAGTACCAAATATACTTTTATAATTATTGTGAAATAATATAAAATAATATAATTATAGTGAAAATAAATATTTAGTATATTGAAATATTGTGTATGTATTATTTTATTACCTTATAAATTCACGTATTTCATTAGTACAGGATTGGTGCACTAATAGTACAAGTGTGGTAGAATACCACACATATACCCTAATTAATGCTAAATGAGATGAGTGTTGATAAGCCAGTCCAAAAATTTTAACTTATAGAAGGTATTTCTAGAGCAAAAAGTCAATAAACGTCTAAAACACTCATCCCGATAATGAAGAACGTCTGTTGGCATTGAACGCCCGTTAGTAAAATGTGTTACTGTACACATGGCACCTCTTGTTGCTGCATTTTAGGATTATTAAAAAAGTTGAACTAGTTTAGTGTAGCCAGTGCTAGTATAGAGTTAGAAGAGTTAATATGTCTTTGCTCGTTATATCGGAGATACAAGGATAGGTGAAGAAGACAAAGAAGATAGCGGGTGCCTCCTGTAATTGATGACGGATTAACCATGGGACACTGTACCCAAAATTATCAAATAGCGAGAGGTCTGCTCCTACTAACACAGATCGGGAATGAGCTGTATTCACTGCTACTGGTGATTGGCTGCCAATGTGCCCAGAGGAGCTTTCTTGTATTGGTGGACGTTGGTTTCTTTGCTGATTGGACTCTAAATTAAATTGATTGTAGGTCTGTGGTAGTAGCAAGTTAAAAATAAACAAGGATATGCCATATATATGAACATTAAGAAATCCTGAAAATTATCGAAGACATATAGTCGAGATGCTTACATTCCAGAGGTAGAAATCCCAACAATACAAAATCAAGGATCTAAGGAACTTCCAGATATATAAAGGTATGAAGGACAACAAAACACCCGGAGAAGATGGCATTGGAAGTAAAATGATAAAACTAGGAGACAAATGCGTCATAAAAGCTTTATAAAACTTGCCTCTTTGAAGCAATTACACCAAAAATGGAATAGTTTCATTAAAAATCCTATTTTTTATTTTTTAAGCCCCAGGCTTCCATGACCTACTGAGCTAAATAAATAACAAAAATGTATAAAAATAGATGTGAAAATATATTCACTTCAATTTTTAACCAGATTTAAGTTTCAATGAAGGTAAACAGCACAGATTATAAATAAAAACAGTTTATTCACAAATTCGCCATTAATTATTCAGTAACGATCTTAATTACACTATCTTGTAATAAATAAACAAAGAAAAAATTCAAAAAAACGTTTAATGTTAGTTTGGATGAAACATAAATTTTGTTTAACATATATTTGTATTCATGGTACTGATAAACCTATCTACCACAAAATTCAAAAATATATTCTTCTTTCCGGGTGTCTGCTTAAATATGAATTCCATTCATCGGTTGGTGCACAATATAAACTGTCATAATTTCCCGCACAGTTGGTTTCACCGATATCCAAAACGATTTCCTTTCCTTTTGTGTAGCATTTACAAACAGGAGGTTGTTCTTCGCCACATCCATATATTCTAAAATTCTTCACGCCTCTACAGATCCAGTGGTTACGTTCTTTTTCTGGTTTAAATTCAGCAAAACATTTGCAATCTTCTATACCACCAGCTGCAATAGCAAATGCAATGAAGGTAGCAAAACAAACTGTTAGTAAAAACTTCCTAAAAATGGAAAACAGATTAATATAATAATGTGTACAACAGTACGAGATCCCACTGCAGGATCACTACGTTCATAACTCACATTTGTACATACATTTAAGAATAGGAGAATACGTAATAGGTTGCCAGTCAAAATGTGGCCGCAAATAGTTGTAATTCAATTTTAATTGTAATATATTTTTGAAGAAAAATTTCCTTCATTTCTTTCAATGTTTTTTATATCAAATTAAAGCTAATTTTTTTTCTTAATATGATGATGTAAGGTTGCGTGAGAAAAATGGTCGAAAATTAGGATTGCCAGCTGTTAAAAACACGAGTTATTAAAGATAAAGTAAAATAGAATTAGGGCGCAACGACACTGGTTTGATAAGTGATAATATGTATATTGTTATATGTATATTAGTAACTTTGCCCGTTGCATGCGGTGGGGGATCCAATTAATTGGCATCTGCAGCTCAGTCAGTAAATAGATAGAATAGAATAGAAAGAAGATACTGTGTAGTGCCCTTTTAGTAGTTGCCTTGTTTGTTTTTTCTATCTAAATATTTTCGATATAGCCGCCCCTTTCATTTGATATGTCGGCATGTTAGGATTCGATCAGTTGTTTATTTTGTATACAGCCAGAGGCTTTCTTTAAGTCAATAAATCAAAATTTCTCTCATTATAAATCTATTTTTATCTATAGTGCACTATGATATCTCGTAAGTTGCTATACGTTCATTAATAATGAAGATACTGTGTAGTACCGTTTTGGAAGTCGCCACTGTGTAGTGCGCTTTTGGTACTCGCCTTGTTTTTTATCTTAATATCTATATTCGTGATATCCTTCCCTTTAATTTAATGTATCACACACTAAAATCGGACCAATAACAGAGGAGATATGATGTAATGTAATGCTCTCTTAGCAATGCTGCAATGTGTGTTTTTTCTGTCTCAACATATTCGTTACCCCCTCTCCTTTCCAATGATGTATCATACACTACCATCCGACGAACTATTCTACCCCCACCACAAACGGTCGTAAAACTGAGTAGTAGTTCAGATTTCTTTCCTAGGTGGCGTTGTTAGCTTACTGGAAAAACGGTGTGATTTTTATAGCCTTTTATATAGATAGATCTATCGAGCATGCTTTAAAAACTCGCACAACTGACACTTCACACCAGTAGCGTTGCGCGCTACCTGTCTTTTATTTTATCTTTGGTACCTCGCGTTTTTAGCAGCTGGCAAACCTAATATGCTATCATTTTTTTCTCGTACAAACTTTATATCATCATATTAAGAAAAAAAATATGCTTATACGTCATGAACAGCGCATTTTATTTAAAAAATAAATGAACGAAACAAAATGTGTATCAAAAATAATTACTATTAATTGAATTAAGAATATTTATGACCACTTTTTGACTGGCAACCTATTATCAATGCATTCTCCTAATTTGAAATGTATGTAAAAATGTGAGTAATCAACTACTTTAGAACACATTATTAATTTTTACATTTTTTTTCAACAGAAAGAATTTTCTAAAATTTTGATTAATTATTTACCTAATCCTACATACATGTATCCAAAAAATTGTATCGTAATAAATTTAAATTTATTATTACTGCGTGTTCTTTTTCAGTCACTTAGTAGGTATATTATGGTCATCTTGATACTTACATGGTAAAAGCACAGTAAATACTTGTCTGCTACAATAATGTTTTGTAACTAAATAAAACCGGTTGAGTTGTCGCCTAAATTTAAATAACATAAAAAACAAGAATCCTATGGTTGAATGAAATAACTTAACCTGACACCAAGAATGATAATATTTCTGATAAATCAAATTAAAATAACATACCTATCGTGCGTTATAATTATCGTAATTACGTTATTTCTGTTACCGATTAGAGAATATTCCGACCATTAGTTTTTGACTAATTGTGACAAGTTTTAGATGGTATAGGAATTACATATTATACAGTGACAAACATTTTTTTCTAGTAAATTATAGTATATATTGGAGCCGCCAATTCCCTGAGCAGATTAGAGTTTACACTAACGTGAACTGTTAATAAATCGCCAAAGCTTACCTTACATATTAGTTACGTATCACACTCAGAAAACTCACATAGTTTGTGATACACTCACAAAAGTTTCTTATAGGTATTGCTATTATATTTTCCATTCTTTTTTATTTTTAAAACTTTTTTTCTTATATAGTTTTTTCCTGATGTGGTTTTTCATATCTTTTTTGGTCTTTCACTCCTAATTGTATTTTTAACAAAATTTAAAGAAATATGTACTAAAGAAATTTGGAGAAAGCTTTACAGATTTTAACAACTAAAAATATTTGGGAATATAATTAATACTAAAACTTGTATTGCAATAAAATTATTAACACCGATGGATGCTGCAAGAACAGTGGCTTAATTTAAGACGGTCATAGTGAACATGTATGAAGTTTTACTTCAGTTAAAACAAAGTGAGAAATTTGGGAACACCCACTCCCTCTAAGGGGAAAATTTACTCATCTCATATACCTAGAGTATCAAAAGAATCAAACCATGGTGGAACTAATTATGTGCTGCGTTATCGAATTCTAGTTGAGATAGTATGTTAGAGTGCCTCACAAAAATTTTCGTATGCATACATACAAGTCTACAGTACTGTTGAGTTTTTATTAATTCTAATTTATTTACTTTATTTTTCTTATTCTAATTCACTAAAGCACAATAATTTATATTAATTTATTATACCACTTATTCGATACAACAATTTATTTTCGACTAACTAACTGTTTAGATAAAATGTCCCATATATATAAATAACCGTTAGACTGGAACTCCGGCGAAGAATCGATGACCTTCTCGACTGGTATGGAAGGTAAACAGGATCTTATCGAAGGGTCGGGCCCGTGGATGTTACCTAAAGTTTCCGGCGGCTGGTGTATGATCTAGAAAAGACTTGAATGAAAAAGGATATTAATTTATAGTTTAGATATTATGAGTCATTGTTTATCGTAACAGTACTAAAGCTTTATACAAGGACTAACAAAGATGTTAACTCAGGCCCAGCTGTTTTATGTTTTCCAATAGGTTCTCGGGATACCATTATTAGTAGAGAGAATAATTACTTGGCTATCTTTTCGTTGTACTTATTTAATAGGCAGATTGTTGTTATTACATATCATCACATCAGTCAGTGTTGCTTGTATAGTTAGTGTATAACTAGTAGATGTGAGATCTAGTTTATTATGTGCCAGGAAGTCCCAATTGCAGTTATCATTTTCAAGCATACTCTCAATAATGTGTTGATAATCTGTTGTAGAAGTCCTAGATTATTAGCTATCTCTTGATCGCCTTGTTATATTTAGTTGCAGCAAAGTCTAGCAGTCTTCGCTAGGGAGTTAGCGAAGACTGCT